GAGGGAAGGGAGCTCAGGCTAAGTGCCAAATGCTCATCTTCTATTATTTGAAACCCCAACAGCCGAAATAGGGCATATATTTCTTTGGAGGTAAGATGAATGTGTGGCAAGTGAGAGAAAAATCTGTAATCTAAATAAAATATAAACATCATAATCATTAACACTAATTCAAAACATGAATGTGATTGCCTGTCCAATTGTCATGTGGGTTTTCACGCTGAGCACTGCAAGACCACTCCTAAAGAGCTCTGCAGAGAAGAAAGACAATGAATAGAAAGTACATGAATCACATGGCCCGAAGTGTCTTCACATTCTGCAATCAATTAACTTAAATGCTAATACTAAGAACATCTCCATGGCCAACATCACACCTAGTCAACTCTCCCTGGTCTCAGGTCATTGTTTAACATATGATACAGTGTTGCCGGGTTTCGGGGTACAGGGGAGCACTCAGCTCACTCCCTGGTGGGCTGTCTTTCCAGGCTCTCGGTCTCTCACTTGCCCAAGAATGGGAGAAGATGGGTGCAGTGCCCTCGCAAGTAAAAATCGGATCCCAAAGAGTGTTTGAAGAAAGTAATTTATTTAGGCAGAGAAAGAGAAAAAGGTGAGAGAAAAAGAAGAGAGAAAGCTTCCATGAAGGTCGTGGAAGGGGACCCAAATATGAAATCCGAAGGAAGTGGAAGAAGGGGACTTTTAACCTGGGAGCAATTCCCACCTTCTCCAAGCCCCCTGGCCAATGAAAAGAGTTCCTTTAATCTTCCGCGGGAGTGATTGATTTTTGATTCTTCCCACACCCACGAAAATGTAAACAAAGACCTCTAATCCCCGAATGGAGAGGAAGAAAGGGGCAAGGTTATGGCGCTGGGAAGTTCTTGCTCTTGAAACTACACCCCCTTGAGGACCCGGGAAGAGAGTATATTCCCTCAATAGGAGATGTATGAATATCGTATTTGACAAAATATGGTATTGAAGTTCAGAATGGTGAAGGGATTTTCTCCAAAATAACCATTAATGGCAAAAATAATACTAATAGTTGGTATTTATTGGTCCGACTCAGGTACTGTTCTATGAGCTTTACATATCCTAAGAAAATCCTTTCAGAGATGGAAAAACTGAGGCCCTAATAACAATCTTTTTATAGATATCATTATTATGTCCATTTTATAAGTGATAAGGACAAAGCCCAGACAATAGGTAGTAGAGCCTGATGAAAGCGAAGAGAGGCCAGCTCGATGGGTCACCCTCTGTGCCAGAACCTCACTCCAGGTCCCGTAAGGCTTCATAGGTGATGCTTTTCCCTGCAGCCTCCTGAGTCTGTGGACAGGCTCTAAGATTCCCTGATGTATCCATGTTCATGGCACCTTCCCACTGACAACCTCATCTCAGTTGAGCTTCTCTAATCAATCAAGGGAAAAACAATAAAATCTATTTTAATCTTTTAAATGTGGATTTAAATATTTGTCTATGTCTAAATATTTGCATTATCCTTTATCATTTCATCCATGGAATGGATAAACCTCTTTTGAAAGCTAATATTTAATAATTTATAAAAATACAAAATATTAATTTCTAAAAAACACTTTGAACCCTCCAAATTTAAAGAAACAAAAAAAATGAAAGGCAGGAAAGCATTAAAAATAAGGAGGAAAGAAGAAAGGAAGAAAATAAGGAAGGGAAAAAGGAAAAGGGAAAGAAGGAAGGAAAAAGAGATGTTCAATGACTTGATTAGATAATCTCTAGTATTTTCCAAGGAAGGTTAAATAATGGTGACAGTAATTAAATAATAACGGCATAAGTACTGAACAAAGTTAAGATGACAGCACGAAAGACTTTCATAGGATTGTGCAATGTAGTAGTTTTCAAGTTGGGGTATGAAAGCTATTTTTTTAAATAAGACATAATGAGAAATCCTCAACCACGGGGACTGTGGTTGAAAGTTGACTGCAAGAACATGAAAACCCTCCTTATTGACCTTCTCTCCTCCTCAGGGTTATTCCTACAGCTCCTCTGAGTAGAATTTATTTGGAAGTCATCTTCCTTCAGAGGGATGGTGTCTGAAACCACTACTAACTGGGTATTAAGGCCGACTGGATGAAAGGACCTGCTTGATGCCACCTGCCCAGGTATGAGTCAGACTCCATCAGGGAATTCAACTGTCTGAGGAAAATGTTTCGAAGATCCCCTGTGCCTTCAGCCATTCCTCTTCCATAGAGCGGAGTGGGTCGCTTGAGTTCCTTACAAGCACCTTGGCTGGGAAACCTGGGTATGCAACTAACCTGGAGGGAGATCGGGAAGGAGCATAGAGCTCTCCTGGTGTCTGCAACCCTTGTTCTGTCTTAGCTGTGTCTCCTGGCTTTGAGGTTGAGGAAGAGGAGGAAAGTGGTTTAGGGTGAGTAGACTGGAGATGTTTTCCAGTTCCGCCCTCAGGAATCATGGAGAAAAGCGAGGGATGAGAGGGACTTCCAGGTGCTGCCTGAGGAAGGAGGCAGCCACTAGCAAGAACTCACTGCCTGTGAGAACTCTAGAGGTTCAGACCCACGTCTCAAGTTTCCAGCTTCATTCATTTTTTTTTTTTTTTTTTTTTTTTTGCTCTTGTCCATAGGCTGTATATTTTACAGTAATAGAAGCCTTATTCAGAAAAAAAATCCTGGGCTGTATTCAGTTATCATAAAAGTAGAGAAGTGTTCAGGACTGCATCACCCTGGAAAGCTGGAAACCCCAGACAGCAGGTTAGCCATGAGATCAGAAAATGTAGAGAGGACGAGCAGCCTGGTGGATACAGAAAATCAAGCTGTAAGAAAGCCAGTCTGCATGGGCAGGTGACACTGGACAGCCATCTCTGGGTATTCACTAATGTGAACATCTGAAAATCAGATTTTTTCAGCCATATCTCAAAACGAGATATCTCACAGGGAGGCCTGCCAAATCACATATGTTTTAAAAAGAAAAGGAATAACTAAAATAGTATTTTAAAATAACGGTAATTTTATATCGACTTTTAAGCTTGGTTTCTAGGAAATCTACTTGAGTACTTATAGAAAATTTAATTTGAGGGTATACCTGAGAGTATTTGTAGAAATTAAAATTGGAACCACATTGTTTGCTTATCATTTATCTAGTCACCTGTGACCTTTGCACTTTAACGTTTTGAGCTTCCACGCGTCACAGTAAAAGCAAGTCCATGAGTAGCGAGGTGCACACATACAGAAACACGGGCATGCACTGTGGGACACGGAACAAGGGGACTAACCTTAGCACCACTGAGAGCAGCTGAAGACCAGAGCCCACAGCTCTTTGGGGGAAGCCGTTTGGCCTCTGCCCTACTAATGGGGTCAGGGACGGGGTTAGAAGCCTGGTTTTTCAGTCCAGAGTTCCTAGTCTATATTTTGAGGATATAAAGACACCCTCGGGGTCAAAGAAACCAGCTGCAGAATTGGAGTCAGAGTCCATGGGGCCGGTGGGAAAGAAATACAGAGCAAGATACGTTTTATAGAAACTTCTAATTTAGATGCTAAATAATGGCTGCTGGCCAAAACTCACCAACCTTTGGCTCTGAGCTGGGCAGTTGCAGTTTGTGGAAAAACAGCAAACCAGCCCTGAGCCCTGAGAGGCTAAAACAAACTAGAGGTCGTTTACCTGCATTAGCTGATCTTTAACTTGGGATCAAGGCTACTGAGGGCTGAGCTATCTGTCTTTTTAAGAAGAAATTCCTTTGCTCTGTGTTTAGATACTTTGGTTTGCTCTTTTCCTCTTTCTGTCCTCAAAGCATTTTTAATCTTTGCCTAGAGGTGGTACTGAATGAAATGGCATCTCCTGGCCCACTGTGTGTGGACAACTCTGCCCACTAGGACAAGATTTTTCTGAGTCCTTTGTCCTCAGGCATGTGCTAAATAAATTGTTAGCAGTAATTGATAAAGAGTAAAACTTAAATTATGAGTATTTCAATTGATTGAAACAGATTCAAGATGAATGTCTTGATTCTTCCTCACATTCCTTCTGTGTGAGGTACTTGCGTGCCTCCCAACCAGACTGCCAAAGTGCAGAATCTTCTGTCTCTGTCAATGTATCCCAGACTGTCTTCTGTGTAATTCTACGTGCCACGTCCTCATGTCCTCTGGAGTGGGGAGAGAGCATAATTCTGGAGCCACATCCGGGGATAATGCTGTCTAATTATATCACCCTCTTAGAGGAGGCTCACATTGCACACTGTGTATGGAACCCTATGGAATTTGTTTACAGCATAATTTCCATGGAACAGATTTTTTTTTTTTTAGAACATCTAATATTTTGTAGCAGTGTTCCACAGGGCACGCAGTAGGAAACACCATTCTCTATGAGCTACAGAGGCATCTAGGATTACATCAGTCTTGCCCAGAAAAGTAGAATGGTAAGAAGAATAACTAAGATTTTGGAAATTTTCTTTGTAATGGGTACCCCACTAGGAAATTCACATGTATTCAATATCCTATTTAAGTCTGATAATGAATTTGAGAAGAAAGTAGTATTATCCTCCTCCCCCCCACCCCTTTTTATTCCTCAGGATAGCAATTTAGGTGGTTTAAGATCAGACCTGTCTGACTACAAAGCCACCAGGGCAAACTGGATGAGACTGATGTATAAACTGTATCCGGTTCTCAAAGGCAAGCACATCATCAAAGTTCAGCCCTCTCCTTGCTCCAGTTCATATCTGAAGAAACAGAGGCACCTGAAGTCATATATTTCCCTGATAAATCATTTGCCAAATTGTCCTCCCATTAGCACATGAGACAGATGCACCAAGGCAGGAACCAGCCCTCATGCATGAGAGGGTCTGGCGCCTGGCTAAGGCTCAATGTGCTAAATGAAGAAATAGCGGGAACAATGGGCAATAGATCTGTGATCCTCTGTCCCTCCACACACATCCTTAGATTAAAAGGATCATGGAGTCCCAGGTTCTGAAAATAAAGCAGTAAGTATGTAGCCATCCATTTCATCCAACACTCAGAAGTGCAGTCTCTTACCACAATATCCTTTGGACAAGGCAGTGTTCATCTCACAGGGCACCTCTCCACTGGTGAGAAATGGATGGTCTCCCAAAGCAGGCAGTTGTGTGTTCCAGTGGCCTGGCTACATGGGAGAAAACAGTGCAGGCTTTAGAGGTGAAAGGCCAGAATTTGCAAGTTGGCTGTACCACCATTTGCCTGCATATTTTGAGGCAAGTTTCTTAGTATGCCTGAAATGTGTTAGAGAAATTTTTTCTTTGATGCTCAGCTGTAACTAAAAGAAGATTGTCTTTGAAATAGAAATGATGCCAAGCACTTCCACAGTTTTGGGGAGAATTGAATGGTATACACAGACAACAGCTCTTAACAAATCTATAAGGAATGTTGTGGAGGTAAGTTCTAATTACTAAGATGCATGGAGGGTGATCCTCATTACCATCCCTTCAATATTAAGATTATTTTATTTTTAGTCCTGAATGGCAAATAGGTATAGTTTCGTCTGCTACCTGAGACTGCTGTCTAGAAGTTTCTTAGTCACATCTATACTCAATGACAAATTGTTACGGTATGGATGTATTTAAGCGATGGGAGATTTTCTACTAGGAAGGTTACAAAAAACAAGGCTAAATATCTTCTGAAGTTGATTTTCCATTTTGAGACTCTGATTCTGTGAATCCAAGGATTGCCGTTAAGAGTTTTAAAGCAGTATCCATCAGGAAAAAGGCAACTTACTTCTCCTTGCTGAAATCATTTTGCACTTGTTCTTTGGTTAGCTGGTTGCTTTTCTCTCCTTAAAATTCAGTGTAACTATCATCTCCAAAGTGACATTTAAAACAATAGTAAGGAAACAAGCAGGAAATTTAATATACTTTGAAATAGTTTCATGTTTTCCTGTGCCAGGGGTGGTCTTTCTAAAAAAAAAATGATGTTGCAGCAAAATATTATAAAAGATATCAAAGGAACACCTATCTATGCTTAAAAATGTGTATCAACTAACTTGAGTCCAGCGTTTTAACAGTGCCTGATAGTTGCCTGTTTTAGTCTGTTAACATGAGTGATCAGTAAACAAGATAAAGTTCACAACGTTTAATATTAAGAAACTGCTCTTTAAACATTCCTATTTACAACAAATTGCTAATCTGCCAAGTATTTATTGTACAATGCACAGTGTTTCAAAATGTCTGCCACAGTGTCATCTGAAAGAAATAACTGCCTAAAATATATTACAGGGTCTTTTTTTTTTTTTTGATGTTCAACTGTAACTAAAAGGATACTGAATCACAAATGCTTAAGAAGGTTTTAGCACAATTATAGAAGTTGTCAGGACCAAAACTTAAATGTTTTCCACACAGACCTTTTAATTTAGAAACATGATGTTGCTTCCTGTTTCTGCTTTGTTGCTTAATTATAAATTCATGGCCCTCATTATATTCTCCAAGTTGCACAATGAGCTTCTTTCCTGGAGGCTTCATTTCCAAAGGCAATCACACATCAGTGGAAATTATCTTCCTGTCTCTGAATGTCATCCATAAAGTGAGAGATTTGACCAAGAAGTCTCTGCCAGTTTAAACACTTCTCAAGGTCTTTCTTAGTGATACAAATTTATGAACATTTTAGCTTGGAATGGATGTATGTATTCTCTACCGCCCATGTTCAAAGCCTTCTTAGGATACTAACTCCAGTTCAGATTTCTTCTAATTGTACTATTTGAGGAGCCTCCAAACTAGGCTTCCTGCCTTAAAACTTGGGCCCATACATCCACCGCATACTGAATAGCTGAAGGAATTCATACAAATTGTAAATCTGACCATTCCTTCCTGTAATGAAAAAAGCCCCAGGGCTACCCTGGCCTGCAGGATCAAGGCCAGAAGGAGCATGGCAGAGCTGAGTAGATGAGAGGAGCCCATAGGTCCCCACCGGCCCTCACATTGCCATGGGGCATGCCTGGCGTTAGAGGCTGCATCTGCCCTAGATGCTCACCATCATTATCCTGGCTGGAGAACATCCTTCTCTGTCCTGCGTTTGCTCTTGTGCCAACCGTTGCTTTGGTGCTTGCAGAGTTTGTCTCTCTGGAGTCAACAACTTCTCACTCACGAGTGATGGGGATGAAGGTAGGGAGTGGGTCCAGGGCAGCACTGGCCAGGATGCATCTCCCACATAGCTGTGCAGGCAGCTTCTGTAGCTCCATGCCCTTCGCTCCTGTATCCTCTGGTCCTGCAGTTCTCGACTCCAGAATCATCCCAGGAAGAATTAGTCCTACCTCTTTGGGGAAAATTCCATCTATGGAAAGAATAATGGTCTCTCTTTTCTATTCTATAATTTATTCAATATACGCTGACTAGGAGATGGCGAAAAGGGGGAATCATCCCTGGCTGAAAAAGTCCACCTACGGGGAAGAGGGATCAGTCACAGGCCTCTACTTCATACTCACTCCTAGATATTTTTCTTTTTAAAATTAATATTTCTTTTATTTGTATTACTTGTGGCACATAAAGGACTAGAGGAGTGTTCCCAGTTCCTTAACACTAAGTATGAGTACTAGGAAGAGCTATACACTCCTGGTTTTTTTCTTTATAATCTTTTCTTCTTTTTCTTTGTTACAGTGATTTTATATATATATTTCTCAAGAAAATGCTCAGTTATTAGAATGTATAGTTTTATGCTGAGGAAGGTAAAAACCAGGGCTTTTGTAGATGAGGGAGGGGGAAATAGAAATAAATATCTCTCCAGAGCAAGTTAGACTTAAGGTATCTTTTGAATCGTTAAATGAATCAGACAGACTCCACATGACCCATGGAGAAACAACTCCATTTACCTATCCCCTCTGGGATTGTTTGGGATTCTCCCAGGCAAGAGTTGACCGCTTGTGAAATAGCTGAACTTTAAAGTTCAAGGGTGGATGGATTCCTAGTCCAAGGTGACATGGCTCTGGGCAAGGAGAATTGGTATATAAAAGAGAGGAAGCCTTTCCATGGCGATTGCTCCTTTTCCTTCTTCTGTTGTGGGTTTTTGCAAGTGTTATGTCCTATAGAATGGTACATGCTCAGAGGCTTGTACAGGGACCCACATGACACATAGAGCACAGCACAGAAACCATGGGGAAAGATGGGTCTGGAAGTCTTTGGAAGGGCCACAAAGGACATCTGGGAAGCAAGGCCTGCCTGTCAGTGGAGGGAGGAGTGGGAGCTGGGAGAATTTTCCATAAAGATGAAGCACACTCAACTTTTCTTTAGCCATAACGCATACAGGCTGGCTATTCACACTGTTGATCTTTCTGAGCTGATGGGAATGGTATGTGATTTCAGTCCTATTCAGTTTTCTGACTTTGTTCATGGCAGCCCTTTTTCCAATACCACTAAGTGACAACCTTGTTCTTTCTTCCATGTACTTATGGATCTAAACCTTCCTCTGTGGGATAGAGTCTGTATCTCCAAGGACAATGTACAGACTTCCAGGCTGGCCAATCTCAGGGCTGTGTGGCACTGGGGATTGTCTTATTCATGGTCAGAGAGTGAATGCAAGGGAAGGAGCAACACCATTTAAGGGGTTTTCAGGGCCGGGCGCTGTGGCTTACACCTGTAATCCCAGCACTTTGGGAGGCTGAGGCGGGTGAATTACGAGGTCAAGAGATCGAGACCATCCTGGTCAACATGGTGAAACCCCGTCTCTACTAAAAATACAAAAAATTAGCTGGGCATGGTGGCGCGTGCCTGTAATCCCAGCTACTCGGGAGGCTGAGGCAGGAGAATTGTCTGAACCCAGGAGGCGGAGGTTGCAGTGAGCCGAGATTGTGCCATTGCACTCCAGCCTGGGTAACAAGAGCGAAACTCCGTCTCAAAAAAAAAAAAAAAAGGGGGGGGGTTTCATTGCTGAATATGAATATGAATATTCTATTCATGCAATAGAATAAAGTTTGTGAGCCCTTAAAGACAAGTCTCCCCTGCACTTGAACACCAATGTCAAGAAACTTCCAGAAGGCACTCAATAACCATGCATTTTGTTTTGTTATTTTTTTTTTCTACTTGTAAAAAAAATTCTGTTAATTGGCATCTGATGAAATAATCTTTCTTTGGAGGACCAATTTGGAAACACTGGGTAGTGCTGGAGCAACCTTAGGGATATTCATAACTTACTCAGTTTCAGTCCTTTCTCATCTTAACAGAAGAAACCAAGGTGCCTTTCATTAATTCTTCCCACTAAACTAATGGAGCCACTGCATCTTGCAGACCATCAGGAGAGCAGAAACAAAAGTATTGGCTGGAAAAGTAAGTAAATATTTGACTTCTTTTTTTCAACTTGAGCTGAGAAGTTGGTTGGAATTGCCCATCTAATGGGTTTTCTGGCAAACATTTTAGAATATGTGTTTAAGACAGCTCATATAAGGAGATACTTTGTTTTTCTTTCCCTGCGATTACTACTACAATAGACATATTTTCTGGACCAAATATCAGGCTGTGTTGTCTTAAAAAGACTACTTGGTTACAGGGAAAATGAAGCCCAATAATCAAAGTGAATGGAGAAAGGTCATGACCTTGCAATAAAGAATACTGAAGAGGGCGGGGGAAAACGTCTGAAATTCTAGTTCTTTTCTTGTCCTAACCAGTATCCAGTGGGAGGCCTAGGCCTGCCTCTCCCTGTTCCCAGGCCAAATTTCACACTTTGTGGAATAAGGGTGATTTCTGGGGCTCCCTTTAGAGGTGAGATTCTGTAATTCTGATAGGAAAATTATTCTCTTATTTACAATTTTTGCCCCAACACTATCTTGAAACAATTCAATTACTATTGAAAACTTATAATTTAAAGAAGAAAATGTAACTTTATTTGAATTTAATTTTGATTAATTTAGAGTCAAGGCATATGATATCGTTTTTCTATGTGTTCGCACCCAAATATCATCTTGAATTGTACTCCCATAATTCTCACGTGTTGTGGGAGGGACTTGGTGGGAGGTAATTTGAATCTTAGGGGTGGTTTCCCCCATACTATTCTCATGGTAATGACTAAGTCTCATGAGATGATGGTTTTATCTGGGGTTTCTGCTTTCGTATCTTCCTCATTTTCTTACGCTACTACCACATAAGAAGTGGGTTTCACATCTCACCATGATCCTGAGGCTCCCCCACGCATGTGGAACTGTAAGTTCAATTAAACCTCTTTTTTAATCCAAGTCTTGGTACGTTTTTATCAACTGCATGGAAACGGACTAATACAACATACCAAGTGTTATCAAGAGTCACATTAATAATGAAGGTGGTAAAACATCCCATTTAAGCCAATATTTTAGATAAGCAAACAATGAGCACTTACTGTGTACCAGTGGTGACACAATACTCTAGAAAACCCAGGCAGGCACTAAACGTAGCTCTTTAAACATTTTTCACTCATATTCTGTTCTGTGAATCAAGTATGGCATAGTCAGCTAAGAAATATCTTTTCTCATTTTACAATATTTAATTATAAAATTGTATATATTTGAAGTGATGATTTGATATACACTGTGTACTGATTACCTCAGTCTAACACATCTATCAGTACCCATTTTTAACACTGTGTGAATGTGTGTGTAGGGGAGTGGGGACACTTAACACCTGCTCTATAATTAAACTTCAAATAAACAATGCAGTATTAATAACTAGAGTCACCATATTAGATCACTAGAACTTATTTATCTTAAAATTGGAAGTTTCAGTCCTTTGACCAACGTCTCCCCATTCTCTCCCCCATTCTAGCTTGTCAGCCATTGTACTACTATGCTTCTGAGATCAACTTTTGTATTCCACATGTAAGTGAGAACACATAGTATTTGTCAGTGTATGTGTATTCACATACAATTATACAAGTGAAATAATTTCACTTAGTATAATGTCCTCCAGGCTCATCCATATTGCAGCAAGTAGAAGGATTTCCTTCTTTTCTTATGGCAGAATAATATTTTATTGCATATAAATACACTACAATTTATT